TTGAGTGGTCTTTTATCCAATTTATTAAGGATATAACTTTCACACTTATAAACAAGTTTTTCTTTCTATTCCTATCCTATGTGGGACAAACAACAACAACCAAAACCCCTATTTCTATACAAACTCTCCAACAAATATATCATGCATGGACTGCCCTATGAAGATGCTGTAATTCTTGGCAAAAATGAAAGGTACCAACTTTTCAAATCTTGTAATTGAGTGAAAACTTGAGCATCAAGTGACCTAACATGAACAATATATGTGTCTAATTTTTATTTTTTTTCTAAGATGTCATTTGCAGATGTTGCCAAGAAATTATTTACCAACAGATTGTTTCCGTTGGAACTTTTTTTTTTTATTTATAGTTACGATGGAATCATTTAATTTAAAATCTGTTGAAAAATGTTAATTAATTGACTAATTTTACCAATGGATTACCAACGAATTTTTTCTGACGGAAGATTTCCGTTGTGAAACTTCTTGGTACTAAAATATCCTTGTTCGAGAAATAATTAAAAAAAAAGTTATTGTTTATTGTTGGTCGGTAATTTAATTATTTCATCGGTTATCTGTCTCTATTATCTATGGAAATTGACTATCAGTGAATTTTCATCTCTAAAGCCGCACTTTCTAGTAGTGTTCATCTGTAGATGATCTTGCAGCAAATCCTTCCAGTACATTGTTATATGAATATATCATGCTTGGATTGCCATACAAAGATGCTGTAATTCTTGGTAGAAATGAAAGGTACCAACTTTTTAAATCTTATGACTGAGTGAAAACTTGTGCATCAGGTGGCCAAATATGAACAATATAAGTGTCTAATTGATATTTTTCTGGGATTGCAGATGTTCCCAAAAAATTATTTACCAACGAATTGTTTCCGTTGGAACTTCAATTTTTTTATTTATTTTTTAATTTTTTAGTTACCAATGGAATCATTTATTTTATATCAGTCGAAAAATATTAATTGACTACATTCTTTCAGATTCTTTAAGGAAACAAGTAAACTTATTGGTTAAGTTAAGGTCAATAAAATGTTATTACAAAATTGAGGTACTGACAATCATTCTCATGACTTTAAGGTTCAATAAGATTATAATACAAGCCATTGCCTAAGTGGAAATAGTTGTTATACATCTGTTTTATGATTCCGAAGTCCATTTTCCCTATGCAGAAAGCCCTTTAAAATCCTTTTATTGCAGATTCAGTGACCAAAAGATCAAAAATGTCCCTCAGAATGTCAATTTGGTTTGTTATTTTCCTTCATATTTATTTAGTCTTAGCTTCTGATTCAGATCCAGTTCAAGACTTCTGCATACCAAGATCCGAGTTTTCGACCATCTTTGTCTCTTGCAAGAACTCATCCTCAGTAACCATTGAAGATTTTGTGTATTCTGGCATAAAAAACCCCGGAGAATTCAGTAAAACTGGATTTTCATCCATTCCAGTTAGTGTAAGTGTGTTTCCTGGTCTGAACACATTAGGCATGTCGTTTGTACGTGCAGACTTTGAGCCAGGGAGCATTAACGTTCCACATTATCATCCCCGAGCAACTGAGACTGGATTCGTGCTAGAAGGAAAGATTTATTAGGGATTTGTCGATTCAAGAAACCGAGTTTTTGCAAAAGTGATCGAGAAAGGGGAGGTAATGGTGTTTCCGAAAGGGCTAATACACTTTCAGATGAATATAGGAGACTCGCGGGCTACGATTCTTGGGAGTTTTAATAGCCAAAATCCAGGTATTGTGAAAATCCCGTCTTCTGTATTTGGATCAGAAATTGAAGAGGAGATCTTGATCAAGGCTTTTGGATTGAACAAGAAGGAGTTGGCTAAGTTGAAGAAGTTTCTCCATGCTAGCTGAGGTAGAGTAAAGACCTCATAATCGGTAGTTTTTGGCTGAATATATATTCAATTACTTTGCTGTTAATTAGTGTTGTGGCATATTGGCCAAATGCATCGATGAATATTGGTTCATGTTAACATTTCACATTTATTGGGAGTAAGAGTAACTTTATTGTTTTAAACGATTTAATCAAATAGAGTAAATTAATCAAACATAATTTCTTGTTCCGTTTGTATACTCATAAGACGAAATGAAGTATAAGTATTGCTTATAAGCTGGCCAAACTCAAACACTTATACGTTGATTATTACTTCATATCAAAGTAATGTTATAGGGCACTACAAGATGGTTTCTCATTTCAGAACAATTCTAATGTTCAACAGCTCGATTGAGCTTTCTGGAGATTCTATATTAAAAAGTCAACCTTCTTATGAGTAGCTGTTAAAGCTTTTATATGTTGATTTATATATATAAAGTGACACAGGATTTATAAACTTTTGAGCGACTCAATTATATGGTCATGTGCAGAAAAGGCTACAACTATAGATCTAAATTATATCAACATTTCACTTTTCAACTAACATACCCAATTATCCAAGGAAAAGCAAGAGAAATGAACAGTACTATTTACATATTATAATTAAGAGAAGATGGTAAATATGAACAGATATTACGATATGCTAAAATATGACGTAACGAACAATGTAAATTGATACAACATGTAGATATCCTAGTTTGAGCCGCATTTTTTGCTATAGAATTTGTAAAAGTGATTATTTTGGGAGAATATGAGGTTAAAAATTAGGAAAAGTTTTGAATTTATGTGCAAAATTATTTTATTGGAA